GTGAACAAATGAGAAATAAACTCTTTAAACTGACACAAATGTTCACAGTATAGTGGGAAAAGTCATTACTGTAGCTGAACAGACAATGAAAAGATCAGTACAGAAATGTTAAAGCAATCAACAGAAAATAACATAAGAATAGCTTTACAGTGATGTTATGTGTGTTGCTTTTGATTAAACTACATAATACCTTTGGGGTTGCCGAAATCACACCAACTACAATCTAAATTCTTATCATATAAGGTTTGAGATATGAAACCATTTTCCTCAAGGAATTAACAAAATAACACTTTTTTTTATATAATGAATATTTTAACAGAAATGGAAATATTTAATAATTTAAAAATGTCTTCGACATTGCTGGAAGTGGCGGTGTTCACGAAGCCTCAGCATGTTGTCACAAACAAACATGATGCACAGGTACATTTGTATGGTCCTTGACATCGAAGCTGAAAGCTGAGATCTCTTTGCCCTGCAATTCTTTTGCCTGTTGAAATAACTACAAGACTGGCTGACAGGGGGGAAAAAAATCATTATATCTTAGTTCCATTGTCATTTGAATAATCAAATCATGCTTTTTTTCCCCCCCTTCTTCCATTATTGCTGGTTCATGTCACAAGATGTTTGAATAGTTTTCAGTATTTCTTTTTCTGGCAGTGAAGCCTGGGGAGGAAAAAAGAATCCCTACTATATATATATAGACAGATATCAATGTATACGCATCATTATTTTGGCTCATGGGGTGTGATGTACCATTTAATTATACACTGTGCCTGTCTCTGTAATTCACAGCTTTGTAATCACTGCCAAGTTGGAACATGCAGCTGAAAAGAAATAAGTTTGAACGGCTTTGCTCATAACCCCACTATCTATTTACCACCTCATCTCCTCAGCCACCGGACCATTTAATTGTCCCAAAAGGTAAAATATAGTGAGAAGGGTGGATCAGGGGGGAGAAAAAAATGTATCAAGTTGACTCACAATTTCCCCTCATGGCACTAAATCTTAAGGAGCATTGATCGGAGATAGCTTTTTTTTTTACCAGATACCGATAGTGTTTTATTGGACAATAGTGTCCTCATAAGTCGCTGTAATGATTTTTCTGGAACCTGAAATAGTAATCCAATAGACATCATTTAGCTTCTTTTAATTGTACACCTCCCTGTGGGGGGCACAGACCAGAGATAAACCCAAATGATGTTATCCTTAATATAGTTTTGTCCTATAAAATGGTTTGGGGATGAGCAAAGTGCAGCAATTCTTATTTCTGTCCCAGTCACAAATAGGTTTAAGTGTGTCACAGATCTTATAGACGTTGTCCTCAACGTTAAGCTCAAGTCCATTGTTAATTTACACAAACTAAAAGTAAACCTGGAAAATGGCATGTTTAGGTCTATATATAAGATCTATATACCTATATAAAATATATAGACCCAAACATATGAATATAAGATGTATAGACAAGAGACAATTGGAAAAAGAGGTTATTTTACATTGAAGTTCCATTGAACAGATGAAAACATAATCTGAAAAAGCTACTCTATATGCCACATCTCGGGCAATCTATTTTTGCACACAAGTCATTACGGGAATCCCTGGCAGCAAAAAGAGAGAAACGCAAGTGCTAGGTGCTGACGGAAAGCAGATCCATAATGTCATCTCTCCTTTTCATATTTCCATTACAACTATGTAATTATGATTGGATTCCTCCCCAGTTTCTCGGCAGAGGTGGTAATATGAGGCTCGTTACGATGGCCGCGTTGGAGGTCAGAGGAAAGACGGTCCGGGAGCCTGACCTTAGCTGAGCAGTACAGTCACGCAGGCCGCTTGGTTTGTTTATCCTAACCGCCCCACAACTGCTACACTCGGGCACAGAGCCAGGGTGCTTTCCTTTGCTTACACCTATCCGCCTCTTCATGTGACACCGCTGAGTAGTTTCCTATATGCTCCTGCTTTATCGCAGCAGAAATGGACATTGAGAAGTCGGTGCCAAGAGGGCTCAAACACACAGGCCATGCCCACTTTCCCACAGTCTGCTATCCCACACACCTCTTTGGCCAAATGCAGGAGAAGGTGCTACATTTTTAATGAAAGCAGAGTGTTTGATCTGCCAATGTTTATCTTCTTTGATGTTAACTGACGCAGCAGAGAGCAGCCAGCTCTCAATGTATTCCAACATGAGGACAGATTAATTCATTATCCTTTAACAGGGGAGACTTGTAGTTGAGGAGTTCATCCTGGAGGTCTCATCATCTGTAATAGTCTTGAGTAAGACATACCAGTATACTTACCCAAAACACACTGCTTCTTGGTTTCCGCACCGTGACCTCGCTGGGGAAATGCATATGAATGTCGGAGTTACATCGGGATATGTGAAGTAATATAATTTGAATTTACATTCTGTTTCGTAGGTTTTTGTGATGCGTAGCGCTACACCTCTAAGCACTTTGTATCTCAACCTCCCACCGTTGTGCCTTGATCTCGTACTTTCATTTATCTTTTTTTATTATACAGTGTAAAATAGTGAAGAAACCGAAACTTTTTTCAAATTAACGAGACAATAAACAGCCAAGTATTTCCAGGACACCACTGTATCTAATGACTACAACAGATCCGTATCGGTCCCAGGAGAGCGCACAAATAACAAATATGGAGCCAGTGCATAATTACTCCCGCCACTGGAGTTGCACAGGCATGCGTCTGCTGATTTCATGCCTCTGCATAACTGTGTAGGTGTGCATTAGCCATGTTTCTCCATGCATCTTAATCCTCAACCATCCCTCAAGGACTCTGTCACTGGTCGAGGGTGCTTGTATGGATTTTTAGACTGCGTTACCACATATCGGCAACCTTATTATCTTCACTCTCTGAATCTTCTTTTTGAACCATTTATATAATCTACATGTCACAGAGTAGTTAGTTGAGTTGACCTTTGGTGCCTTGACATGAGGGTCTTGCTGTTTATCCATTTAGCTTAAGGGTGTCAGTAGCAAGATCTGCATACCAGCCCACTGAAATGAGCAATCTTTGTCAGTGTTTTTTTTTTTTTTGAGGTCACCAATAGTAAATAAGCTGTCAGTGGGATAAAGTGGGTGTCAAATCGTATGAATAGACAGAGGGGGAAATGGACGCTTTAGGGCCCAGTGAGTTCCCACTCTGACATGGTTTAAAAGAGCTTAATTATAATAAGCTGGAGCATGGAGCAAGTGTTCGATGGCTTCGGGGGTAAACTTGGAGACAGTGACAACAGTCCAGCGAGAGCTACATGAATTGAAGATTGCTCTGTGAAGGGGCCAACATCAGATATGCATTAGTGGAACAAGGCAGGTTTTCAGCAGTAGCCGCCAGACTTTATGAAAAAGAAATGATGCCTGCCTCGCAAATATATTACACATCATTTATTTTCCTTTGTAGAAGTCATCAAGCTTCATAACGCTTTATCCATTAGCCGAACAAGAATGCTTACAGTGTTATTTCATTACGGTTTCCAAATGCGAGTTATTCTTTATGTAAACAATAAATCCCGCCATAGATCTGTATGTCCCAACATCATTCGTTAATCACATTATCGTTAATTAATGATGCAATTCTTTTTAGCTAATGGTTGACACTGTGTATTGACTCCAATGAGGGAATGAAATTGGAAAAGGAACTTGAGAGCAGAGTGACAGGCTTTAATCACTTCAGAGGGAGGAAAACAGAAATAAATAAACAAATGCAAAATATATATCGATAGTTTTATATCCCCGTGAACTGGTTTCCAAGAAAATATTGGAATTACAGTAAGAATGATTTATAATCTATTGTTCAGGCTCGGGCTGTTTAACTCCCTGTCCCCATGAACATTAACATGCCCGCTCGCTCTGTTTTTCCTTCTCACTCACACACACTAAATGCATAACACACTAGCAGAGCTCCTTGTCTAATTTTTCATGAAGATAGCTGTTTTTATGCTAATCTGACAGCTGCATTTATTTTCAGCCTTTCTCACAGGCATTTATTTCCCAATCCCATACTCATTCATTCACACTTGCACACACATATACCCACTTTTTTTCCACAAGCATACTTTTTTATGTCCCAGCAGAAATGAATTGAAACTCTATCCCAATGAAGGTTTTTAATTGGGAAGAAATAGGCACTTATTTGATTGAGACAACTCTGACAGCTCTGACATGGTAAAGCTGGTTGGCAAGCAACAAAACCTGAGCTGTGGCTTCATACAGGAACATGCTCCCACTTTTAATAGACCATTTCCTTCATTTGGCGAGATGGACTTATTTCCAACCATCAATTTGATTAGGTCACTGGAATACTGCCGCAAGGCTCTGTCTCACTGAATAGCTACGTAATTATAACTGCTCTTCCATCTACCAGGTCATGTTCAAACCTTTCATACAGCTGCGACAGACAACGTGCTAATGCAGCGAGACAGGAAGTAGCTGGTTTGGAGGTCACAAGGAGGGCATAATTGGACCAGTCAGTCTATAACGCTGCCGGATGAGTCTGCCTTTGAGGCTGCTAATGAAGTGCGAGAGACGGGGAGGTGCCCGTTTTGGCATGCTGGTTACCTGGGCACCGGGGACTTGACTGCAAAATCGCTAGCATTTACTTGTGTGTCTCTCCCCTGTAGAGGTGAAGCGGGCGATGGCAGTAAAACTGAGTAATTGTGGAACATCATGGGGAAAGTGGCAACAGTACCTGCCTCCCTCATTTCCGCTGGATTTTCCCGTTCTCATGAATTGACATGAGTGTACTTAAACCCTCAGACGGGGCTGAGAACTGTTCGAGAGAGATGTGTTGCGCAGTGCTTTGCAAAGTCATTACTCAGCACAATGAAACACTTCAGACTGACGGTGCTGTGTACACATGGCATCTGTGCCGGCTTTGTTGCGTTTATAATGTTGTTGTGTTGACAGTCAGTGGTTCATGCCTGGTACATGACTGTAAGGGGGAATTCACTCTTATATTTGTTATCTCTGCTTTTTTTCCCTCTCTAGCGGGAACGACGTACATATTTGGGCGAGACGGTGGACTGATCACATACACGTGGCCGCCAAATGACCGTCCCAGCACGAGGGCAGACCGGCTAGCCGTTGGCTTCAGCACGCACCTGAAGGATGCTGTCCTGGTGAGGGTGGATAGCTCCTCTGGTCTCGGAGACTTCCTGAAGCTGCACATCGTAAGTCAAAGACTGTTCATCAGCATTCTTTCAACTGCAAGTGCAGTATTAGATGTATTATATTAGGATAAAGCCATCTTCACACATTTTCTCTGTCAGTTTTTTACTTAGAATTTTTATATATTTCTATTTCTTGCTTTTCCCATTGATTTGCAGTGAAAGGGATCATTTCTGTTCACCAATAAGAATTTAGCAACAGTTACTCTCAGTCAAATTTGATGTTTCCAGTGTTACACTCTCAACAAATAAAACCTAAAAACGTTTTAACTTTGGTCGATTTGAAGCCAAGTTTACAGAGCTTTAATGATAGTGGTTATAATGTTAAACTCTCTATAACCACAAAAGAATAAGGACGTCTTGATTTGATGGCAAGTACGACATGCATGCCCATCAGTACGTTTATGTTGTGTGCGATAAGAAGGAGCACATGCTTGCTCACCTCATCTGGTCTGCGTTTTTATTGCCGCTGTGTGTGTGCGCAGCAGGAACTGAGGGAGATGGTGCAGTAATAAGGGTCAGTTCCATACAGTGCATACCCGGCCTGGATACAATTTATTTTGGCTACCACATGACCTTCCTCCCGCTGGCACCCACTTAACGATAACAACATTCATTAGCACGTGAAAGTTGGTGCTTTAGGGAGTGCTGCCCCGCTGCTGGCCAGAGAGAAACGCGGTGGAAATATAATATTGTCTTTTTAAATAATCTGTGATAAACATTATTTATCTGATTCATTTCAAGTGCTTGTGGATGAATTACTCTGTTTTAGCTCAAGTAGGAAAAATAATTTACATTTTAAGGATAAACAGATTTAAAGTATCATGACTGCATGCCTTCCCTTAATGTAAAAGTTTGGAGGAGCTGCTAAACATAACTGGCCATAGAAAATGTATGGCACATAAAAAATAACGTAAAATATAATTCCTCGATGGTCCAAAATTAAAAATAGTCTAAGAGGAAAAATGTCCAGTAGTAAGAGTCAGGTTGGATGTTATCTGCACATCCACAGGCATGTTTATTCAGAATATACTCTGGTCTTTACGCTGCCTGATGGCTTTTTCCCTGCAATGTTTTCTTATTTTGTTGACACGGAATACCCGTGTTCTTTAGTGCACACAAAGCTAACTAACCCTCTAGTTTAGTTTGGCAGTTTGGACCAAGTTTGTTGCATGTTTAAATACCCTTGATTATTTGGGTAATATTGTTTTCTGCTATAATACACACAAGTTTCAGATTCAACTGTAGAAATCGTAACATGTACGGCATCTGTATATCCTTAACATTAATACGCACGTTGTAAGTGGTTGCACACATGCACATATCCAGGGCAGACCACCCCCCAACACATGACAACACTGATGCTGGCCAGAAGCATACATGAACATTGCACAACAGATCAGCACACGCTCCCGAACATGAAATTGGTCTTGAAGTTTGCCTCAACCTCAGCTGCCCACACACCTATATTCACACATACAGTAAGCACACAGTGACATAAGAAGGCCTGTCCCGGGGACTCGGAGCAGCCGTGATCTTGGTCTTATGAGACAGCTCCGTACTTGCTCTGCCTGGATTAGCTTTTTTTTTTTCCAGGGCCAAGTGATTTTTAGCCACTAGTTTTAATCCAGGAGTAACCGGCCAATTTAAAAGGATTCAACCTTTTTCCACACGCAGCATTCATCAGCAATTGCCACACAAACGAGATGTTCAAAAGAACATCAATTGGAACATGGGTGTAAAAGGACAGATGTGCTCTCTCAGATGTTCGAATGCTCCACTAAGATCCTCGTGTGTTCTGCAGCTTTCTGGGCTCCTGTCCACCTGCAGGAAACACCTGAAACAGGGATGAAACAGGCGAGATTTTTATTTGTACACTATTTTCATGCGAGTGATGAAAAATGTCCTCTCCAACGATTTGCATAGACAGGGCGCCTTTTTAAATTAGATGGCACAACGGGGCTTTGCTAGGTAGCTCATCCCAATGCGGCACTGAAGTAATATACATACAAATTTGCTCACTTGCTTGTACATCATGCACACTTGCCAAGTTATTGCTGAACAATTCCCACACTTTTGCATTTGATTTAAATATCATGTAGCAATTAATTCAAGCCCTCCTGACCAGATGTAAGGGTGAATTCCTAGCAATACTGGGGTTTGCAGCTGGTGCACATGCATACTCACAAGAAAGCTGTAGGCTGTAAACATCTTGAAAGATATTTCCGTCATACATTGCTGTATTTCTGTGTCTACACTAGAGCTAATACACAAAGAGAAGTTTGCCCAGGAAAGACACGGGGCACATCTTAGTGGAAACATCTTATAAGAAGACAGTCTCAGGCTGGATGCCAGCTTTTAAGTTCACTGATGTGGACTAGTGATGAATGTTAGAGGTTAAGAGACATGAGCTGCGCCGACGGGAGAGGTGAGAGAGGGGAAGCTCACCTGGTATAACAAGGCAGGGAGATCACGCAACTTACAGCAGATGCATGCGTCGCCTTGTTGATGAAATGCGCAGCATTCCGTTGGCATTTTACAGGGAGGGAATGTTGATAAGGCATGTTCTTACAGCAGTCTCCACTCACATCAGCAGTCACTCTGAATGCTTCATATTTATGCATTTCTGCACATTAATCTGGGGGCTTTGTGCAGTGTTGCATTTCATTAGAAAATGAGAGAAGAGTGGGAGAAAACACAGAAGAGATGCATGAAGGTCATACAGGTTTTTGTTCATATGGTTAGGTTGTTAAATACACAAATACAACAGGATGGAAGTGTATTACACAATTTCTGTTCTGTGCAAGTGTTTTGCCAAATGTTATCAATGAAACACCACATTAAAATATCTGGCGAAATGTTTTCTGATTAAATGACTGTCATAACATAATGTTTAAAGTGTGTGATAAAAGACTTGTACAGTACTTTAACGAAACATAATTGGTTGTGTTATTTAATTGTCATAAGGGATATTCTCTAAGCTTTGTGATGCAGCCAAATGGAAGAATAGCAGGAAATTAAATCACACTAACATTATGAAATTGGTATACTTGATACAGACCCTCTAGATATGTGTTTCACGCTTCTGTCTTCTCCTCATTAATTACGATGGGAAGGATGTGTTTTACAGCGGCCCATTAAACACAATGAGCTGTACGAAATGTGCCACAATGAAGCATTTTTTTAATGCAATAACAGCAGCACTCAGCTAGTCACCTGCAAAACCTTATCTGGTTGAATTGTACCCTCAGTAGCTCACACTGTAATGTGAAATACCATTCCATGTAATGACTGTGGCCCATTTTTCTGTGGCATTGCATTGAGTGAGTTAGTTTCACTAACCTTGGGCAAATTGTCTTATTTTCTAAAGTAAAATAAGCAGAACTATTGATAGTGTGACATACTGTTGATTTCCAGTATTAAATATGTTTAAACAAAGTATGGAATTCTTTCCAAACAATATATTATGAGGCGGATTCCCAATGTTATTCCCCTCATTCCTTCCAGTTACCTCAGCTCTGAGCACAAATGTCTTAGGAGGAGTGTATCTTCAGCTGTATGAGATGGGATTAGACCAGATTTCAGTATTTAGCCCCCTCCTTCTCCATCCTCTACATCCCTCACCCCCCTAATCTCCTGCTCCCATTTCATGATGACAGGAAACCCAGCGGGGCTTGAAGGACGCCATCTCAGCTCGCACTCTCAAGAGGGAATTTTCTGAGTAATATGTGGAGACTATGATTTAAATGTACCTCAAAGGAATTGCGATCTTTCCCCCCCGCCTCTCCTATCTATCGCAGATAAAGACAATGACTGTGAACTCAGTGAACCATCAAATGTATGACAATCACTTTCCTCAGGCTCATTACTGCAGCGCACATGGAAGGAGCACTAGATTCATAATAATGCCTCCACCGTTTCTCCAATTATGATGGTTTTCCACAATACCCATTACTTTTTCGAAGGTGACGCATATTCATGAGGCTACTTTGACAAGTATCCCATGTGGATTCAAGACTTGTCTATGCACAATAGTATGCCCTGGCAAAGTATCTTAAGTAATCCATAAGTAATTAATTGCACTGTAGCTGAATGTCAAATCTTGAAAAATATTCACAATGACATGGAATTATGGATATAATGATCCCGGGTGTTTGCAGCCCAGTAATCCATGCAGAAGAAGAATTGAAACAAAGTTTAATCGATGTGGTTGTGCTGTACCTTCTCTGTTAAACATGCTAATACGTTTCACTGTGCAGTGTCTGTATACATTTAGAATATTAAAATAGAGGCGGATTTTACTTTGATGCTATTCAGGTATGTTATTCCCCACAAAAGAAGTATCATTTATGTTTCCCCGCAAACCAGAGGTCTGTCTGTTATCGGAAATCCATCTGTACATTTTTAGCAAGCCATTTAGTCAGTGAAATGGAGGCTTTGCAGTTGTCTTCTTTCTTTTTTGTTGTCAATGAGCAGCGGTGATGGTGACTATCAGAGGCTCTCCTCAGTCTCAGGCGGGGCCCTGAGGGGCCCAGTGAGCTTGTTTTGTGCTGGTACTCAATCTCTGTGTGGGGGTTGGGGACTATTCCAAGCACTTTCTTCTTTCCCTTCTTCTAATTGCATGCATCACTTTAAAAAAACAAAACAAGCAATGAAGGCACTCTGGCTAAGACAGCAAAGTTAATGTATTCCATAGAGCGGAGGAGATGGTGGAGAAATAATGATTTCTCTGGTGGAGCATTGCTCCCCTCGGTCCTCCTTTAGCTGACTTCTAGAAAGGGGGGTTTCTTCTGATGGAAGACACCTTTAATTGCAGTTTCAACTCTACTCTTTACCCTATTAATCATGTAAAATGGCTTGAAAAGAGAGACTACCAGGCCAACTGTCTGAGTACCTCAATTTTCTAGTAAGAAAATGTGATCTTTTTATAAGTTTTTGCAGTTCACCTTTCTTACAGACAATCACTTGTGTCATTAGGTGAATCCTGTACAGTCTGATTTGAT